TCTTTTCTGAGCCAATAAAAAAGCGGTTGGTGAAAATCCATAAAGTAGATATGAAGTGTGTAAAGCGGCCTTTTCAAAAATGTTTCAAGTTATTTGAACTAAATTTTACCGTATCAAAATTTCTCGAATATACCAAGAGAAATGGGCACTTTTTGGGCTTTAAATCCAATTTAGATTTCTTGCCTTTTTTCCAACTTCTATATGGTTCAGTAAAGAAAGCAGCTATCGAACAGTGGTTATTTCATTTCATTTCAGTTTTTTTTTAGATTCACATTTTTTTGTTTTCATTGAAATTTTTTTTTTGTTTCAAAACGAAACGGAAGAAATACTTTCTGTTTCTTTCGTTTGACTTGTTTGCTTTTGAATTCAATCATCATGATGATTCGTACATTTATCGCATACGGGCGCCATATAAATGGAGGCTAAGCTTGAGTTAAAAATGTATAATATAAAATTATTGGTTAATAACGTACTACAACATTTTTCATAATTTATTTGCATTCCGATAAATCAAGTGAAAAGATGCTCTCTCAGCTAGAAACGTAGACATTTCTGGTGAAAAAATTGTGGTTTTTTGTAAATAAATTATTTAGTTTGTCTGTGTCAAATAACCATTGAAATGGATTATCAAAAATAATTTCTTTTTGTCTTTCAAAAATGGGAATGACGGAATTACATTGTTCTTTTCCTTCATTAAAGTAAACAATATAAATCGGTTCCAGCATACAAATCGGAATGAAATAAAAAAATATGTAGTTTATTTAATACAAACGTGTGTGTGTGTGCAAGCCAGAAAACATCTCCAAAAATCAAACTTAATCGGAATTTTATTTAACCACTTAATAGGTATTTTATTTTTTTATTTGTTCGGTTTATATCGAATCCGGTATGTTCATAAATTATCAATTCAGCAAAGCGTTCTATTTAGTGGAAGTTAATTGCCAAAGACGGGTCCATTTTTTTAAAATACTTATTATGATCTGCTTTATTTATTTTTTGATCAATTCACCGAAACAGAAAAGAAAAAAAAATTGTCCAAAAATTGAGCCGTTTCAAGTCAATTCTTCTTTGGTTAGTCTCTTTGTTTAGTCTGTTACATACTTCTTGGTTGGTGAACCTTATACTATTATTTCTACAATATGATTGTTTTCTGTTCATTTGGTTTTAATCTACGCATTGTGTCGAAATTTCAATAAAATGCCAACTTATTGCTTCCATTATTCAGATAGATTTGAGAACGCATACAAATTTACGTCTATCCTATATATACGTTATAACCATATTAGTATTTTTATCATAACGGTTTTTTTTTTAAATCTAGAAACAGCTTGGTTTTTTTTTTTTTGCTATAAATTTTTGTATTTTTAATTCAATCAATCAGCTGTCAAATAGTTTCTTTTTTTTTTCATCAACCCCAAAGAATATATTTTTCATTTTTTTTGGTTTTTTCATTATTTATTCGATTTTTTACAAGTTTTGATTTTTGTATACGACATTTAGTTATAAAAAAAATAGTCATCATAATCATCAATATTTCATTATTTTTTTGTTTGTTCTGCTTGCGTCCTCAAAAAACGTACACTTAAATAATCTCTACTGCTCTATTTCTCTGGGTTGTTTTTGTGTTCTTCTTTTGTTTTTGGTTGTCATTTCCAAATGCATTTAAATATTTTTTCTAGATTTTTGTGTGTTTTATTTAAAATTGTCAAAAAAATGTCATGTCAAAAATTTTTGTTTGCGGATAAAATAACAAACAATATCCACTTTGATTTAATTTTATTTCTTTTTTTTATCCTATCGAACTGGTTTTAATTACTTCCTTCATCATAATAATATTTTTGTGTTTTGTTTTTGCTCGTTTAGCTTGCACTTTTGATTATGTCTTGTTTCCTGCAACTGCTTACGTCGTTTTTTGTTTGTTTAGATAGATATGTGCCGCAGATACAATTTTCGTTTAAAATTATTGTTCCAAAATTTTGCGTTACGTATATGGTGTGGCTTGTTTTCTTTTTTTAAATTGTTCTCTTTATTTTATCCTTAATTTGCTCAGTCGGTGAATAAAAAATCCCCATAATTTATCGCTTAAAATGACAAAAAGAAAAGAAAAAACACATTGGAAAGAAATCGTAACTCAAACGATAGAGAGAAATTAAAACGAACTTAAAAAGAATAAAATAATTAAAAACAAAAGTAAAAAGTAAATCTTTTTTCAAAATTATTTTTATTTAAAATTTTATTACAAATGTTCAGTTGAATTACTCGATTGATTCTCAATAGGTTCTTATTGACGTAATAAGATAAGATATACTTAGCAAAAAAAAAAAATTGATGAAGTTCTAAAATGGCAATTGCTCTTACATGTAAAAAAATGAATTACAACATCACTCAAATAATTATGTTTTTTGTTTAGGTAATTTTTTCTTTTCTTTTAATTTTGTTTAAATAAAACTATGTCTTTTCAATTACATCTGTATATGTATGAATGAGAAATGTTTATGAATAAACGCTACATTGCCAAAGTCATATGCAAAAATAACATGTTCTCGTTTTGGAATATTTTTAATGTTTTTTTTTCTCTGTTTGAATAAAGAAAATCTAAATTTATTCAAATCAAAAGAAAACGAAATGGAAAACACAATTGAAAAGACAAGAAAAAAATTAAAATTGAAAAGAGATGTAAGCGTTCACAGCACAGAGATGACAAAGACCGCACCACTGTCATTTTCTATGTAATTAAATTAAATAAAAAAAAGAAATTGAATCCAAAGCGATAAAAGCGCCTCTCGTGTACGATCATTATATTGGCTGATTTCATTTATGAACTAATAGCGATCCACTTTGACAATTTTTTTTTCTGTGGTTGGCTCAAACCTATACTTGAAGCTGACAAAGTTATACAATTACGTTTATTCGTTATTTTTACGTGATTAATTTTATGATTAATAATGCATGATTTTTTCTCATTTCATCTAACTGCAAATTTATCCTCGTCAATTTCGTCTGATAATCGGTTTCTGGTTACAGCTCTTAAAATTATTTAACTTGAAAATGAAAAGTAAAAGATCTCTCTAAAACGATTCTCGTTTCATTCTAGAAGAAAAAAAAATATGATGGCAAGATAAGTTCAATTCATTTGATTTCCAGAATTTAAATTCAGACAATCACCCTTACGTTGTTGTTTTTCTTTTTTAAATAAAAACGTTTTACTTTCAATTTAATTAAAAAAAATGCGGAAAAAAATTGACATGAAAAAATGAATGCTAGATTTTGGTTTTCTGTATTTTCTTGCCTTAATCTCTTCAGTTGTTGGTTTGGGTGGTAGTCTCGTAAGTATTTTGTTAACATGAAATTTGTACTTTCGGCTTTGATAAATATTGTTGTGTCTTTTAGTGGTTGGCTCATCAATGTGCCATCGCTCGTATTGTGTGTATGTATTTTATTTTGTTTTAATTATTATTTTATGTCATTGGTGCTAGAGCTAATATCAAATCGGTTGTATTTTTGTATATTTCTTATTATTTTTTTTTTTTTTGTCTTTTGGGTGATTGGTTGTTGTTTTTCTTTCGTGTCATTTTGTGTGTATTTGAATATTCATGTTGGAAATACCATACAATCTCGCTAAATTTAATTAGATTAAAGTGAATTCAATAATAATAATTAATAAATGCGCATAAAATAATTTATAAATTATATTTATATATACACAGCGAAATGCAATTCGGTGTATTTTGTTAACAATCGAATGAGATATTGTTGAGCATCTACATAATGTCTTTAAATGTAATACTTTGTGTATGTGTGTTGTGAGTGAGTGAGTGTGTGTGTTTCGCTTTTGCAATAGACCAAAAATAAATTGAAAGAAAACGGAATATGTCAACCGTCTGCAATCGTCTCATGTGAATCGTCATCTAGGCTGGTACGTGTGTCGATCAATCGATTTTATCACATTACCATTATGTTACAATTGATTGTGCAATTTCAAACGATCACCATAAAACTAGATCATTATCATCATCCGTTGGCCCCGTTTCACTTGTTGCCTATGAAAATTTATTGCTTTCTTCCTTTATCACTGCGGCTATTTCCGGTGTTTTTTCGATTTTTTCCTTTTTCGAATCGGATTTGGAACGTGATTTTCGCGGTTTTGGTTTAGATTTGCCACTTTTATTGCTGCCCTTTGTGGCTGGTGCCTCAATTTTTTGCTCATCAACTGGTGGTAATGTGATGCCCAATCGTTTTAAACGCATTTTTTCCTCCCATTCTTCGATACCGTGACGATGTCGATTGAGATTTCTGTGTTGATAAAAAATCAATGTGATTCGTGTTGGATTCTTACGATTTGGCCTTTTAAGCGATGATGTTGCATGCATTTCATGTTTGGCACATTCAATTAAAACGCTACCATGTTCGAGTGCAATACCAATACCACCCAATTGTGTATCTTGAAAACAATCAAGATTATCATTTATTTCGGTTATTTCACCGATAGGCTCCGGTTTTTGTGGTATTGGATCTTCGGTTGGTTTTTCAATGGTTGGTTGTGGTGTTGAAACGGCCGTTGGTGACATATGTTCCGACAAACCAGATAAATTAGTTAACGTTGGCTCAGTCGAATTGTTTGACTGTGAATTGGATAGCGGGGGCGTTGTAATATGCGGCGTTGCTACGGGCACAGCCGATGGTGCGGCCGGCGAAAATAGATTCCAATTTGGTGGTGGTGTTTGTGTTTGAGGTATTTGACCAACTGATGCATGATGATAAATATCATATGGATTGTATGGCTGATGATGCGGATGATGTGGCGTATAAAAATTATAACGCAGTTTATCATTATTATAATAATCTAAATTATTATAGTGATGAGTTTGATTGTACGATGGCGTTGAGTATGTCGGATACATTGGATATGCCGGCTGTGTCGTATGATGATGATAACCATAGGTTGGATAGTCTGCAATGACATGTGTTTTTATTTAAATATAACAATAACAAATGAAAAGGGTGCTGTGCGTTTGTATGCAAGATTCGCACTTACCTTGTGGTTGTTGTCTTTGCATTTTTGTAACATCTACAACGCTTGGACTAAATGCAGAGCCACTATTATTGGCGTTAATGATTGTTGTTGAGTCTGGATTTTCTTCGCTGCCGCGACTTTTCACTTGTTCATTTCGGTCAGCTGGCGGATAGCCGTACGTTTCCATGGCATGCGGTGGAATCCACTGTTGATTATAATAATTTCGTTTGTCAATGTATGAACCAGTTGCATAATCATAAGAATATGGAGAGTCTAATACGGTGCTTGATATCTGATTGGACTGCAATTGTGCATCGGTAAAGTTGTCAATCATCGATGCCATATTGATAAGGTTTGAATTTGAATTCATCATGGTAGTTTGGTTTGGTGCAGAGAATGCGCTATGATTTGATGGGCTGCCACTAGTATTGCTACTGTTGCTACCAATGTTAAGATTGCTAATGGCATTAGCTGTACTTGGTGTTTCGGCTCGAGATAATGGATGACTTGGACTTTGCGCCTGCTGCTAAAAAAAATAAGAGCAACAATAAACGATGAGTTCGTAATTGATAGATTGTGATTTATATATTTTTTTAAAATTTCAATTGAAAGAAAGAATGTACCTGCTTAGACTGACTCTTGCTGCCTTTCTTGCCACCCTCCTTTTTGACAGTTGTTGGAGTTGGTGGGGCAGGAGTTGCTGCGGGAGTTAGTGGTGCAGTCTCTTCAGTGGGCGTTCCCGTCTCTTCGTCATCTGGCATATCTTTGCCGTTTCGCTTTTTACCATGACGACGACATGGTAAAAGTGGAGTTGCACGTACGCGAACTTCACATGGAAACCTGAGATTGATGCAAACGGTTAATTTTCGATGATTTCATATGATTTGGAGATTTTTTTTTTTTTTTTTTCAAATAGTAAATCAGTAGAAATTCGGAAGAATCATCATACAAACTCACTTCTCGAGCACTTGAACAGCGCCATTTTTGTGTTTTTCTTTTTGCGCATCGCCACTATCGAATTCATCAGTTGTGTCCATTACGTATAACGGTAAGATATGCAATTGTTCATCGTCTGATGGCATTCCAGGTGACTTTGGTTTTAATAAGCCAACTTGAACGGTACAACCATCCTGCATATTGTGCAAATCACGATGTGCATGAGCACAAAAATCCATACATGTCGTAACACCTAATCGAAAACATTTCGTTTTTAATCCGACTTTTGTGAAATGTGCCTGAATCAATCAGGGCAACGATGGAGAAATGTTTCTGTTTATTTTTCATTTAAAAACAAAACTATTTACCTGAAAATGGTTTGCCTGCTTTCAATCCCAATCGACAGTCAGGTGCTTCGCTTTCATATTTACACTGATTTTCGTATGCTTTTGGTGCGAGCGTTTTGTACAGTGGACTTAACATGGTAGCCAATACATTCATATGCTCTTCTATTTCGGGCTCTTCGCTTTTAACCGATAAACGGAATTTGCGGACAGTCTTTGAACGAGCATATTTGCATCCATTATAATACATTGACCATGAGCATCCAAACGAAAATGATGCACCGCTTGTTTCTGGATCCAAGCCTATTTGTTAATAATTTTGATGTCATTTACATTATTCACAATACAATAGATTAACAAAAAAAGAAATGTCTAGATAATAAACATCAAAGAAAAACAATGATCAAAATTACCTTGACATGCGCATGTTCGGTTTTCGTTGGTTGCACATCGACGAGTCGTTGGCAAACCAAATTTATTTAACTTGTGTATAAGCAATCGGTAAGAATTGTCTGCTTCATGCTTCGGCACACCTTCCCAAGCAACAATGCATACAACAATGAACGTTGCATTACATCTAAAAAAAAATTCAACATATTTACATATAATGAAAATGTTTATCTTTTGTTTTAACCCTTAACCGGGCAGGTCAAAATCCTAACGTTATCGGGCAAGTGGGGCCTCTGAGGCCCGACGTACATTTTCCATGCAAATTTAATGAAAAAAAATTTTTTTTCTTTTTTCAAATTTCATTGAATTTATACGACGAAAATTATTGTTTTAACATAATAGATATTGAATTGAATATGTTTTTTGTAAAATATAACTGAAAAAATGAAAAAATAATCAAAATTTATTCTGAATCGGATGAATTTAAGTTTCAGTAGTTGTTTAGTACAAATTTTGCACTTCATTTTAAGAAATTTGATGACAATTTGTATGGAAAATGTACGTCCGGTAGTCGTTCAAACCTCAATACAGCGCTACTTAGGGAACCAAATTCAAAACAACTTTTATCAACAATTAGTAGAAGGATGAAAGTATATATTACGAAACAATTTGTTTGATTAAAATAATATTTTATACGATTTTATGTATCTTTTTTTTTTAAATGCACTACCGGGCCTCAGAGACCCGACCTGCCCGGTTAAGGGTTAAATGTAAAATGAATATTGATTTGTTTATTTAATGATTTTTTTTCTCTGTACGTACTTGTGACCTTGACGACGTTTTACGATGCACAAAATTTTCTCTTCGCTATCAACGCGACGAATAATCCATTTGGCCAATGGGCAACCTTGCGATGTTTTACCTTCTTTACCCGAATAAATGACCTTTTCAATGCGAAGTTGTCGGCCACGTATGCCGATGCGATTTTCCATATTGGTTCGAAGTTCGGCTAATGTTGATGCCGATCCGAGATGTGTATAATAGCTACCCGGTTCCGGTGGTGATTTTTCTTCGGGTGCAAAGCAATCGCAATCAGGCACTTCCGGTTTCATTCCTTTTTCCGTTCGATCAATTGGAAGTTGATTCAAATCGGCGCTTGTGTACGATTTATCTAAATCCATATCATCTGTTGACAATTTATCGTTATTCAAATGATCTTTATTGAGTGTTGAACCCTGTTTTTGTGGATAATACGAAATGCCGTTAAATGGTTGTGGTTGTGGTTGTTGTTGTTGCATTGGCTGATGCTCTTGATTGGCATTGATGCCATTTTCTTCATAAAATGAAAATCGTTCGTTCGAACTCTTACTTACGTCATCAATTTTATGATTTTTTATACCATCTGCGGTATGATGACCGCTATTTGTGCTATCCGTGAAACGACCATGATTTGGATAAGTATGTATTGGTATATCCTTCTCATAATTGGTTAATTTGGTGAGATCGGAATTTTTTGTATCCGTCTCCTTGTCCGTATCACGCATATATGGTTTGATGTCTTGTGTTTCCGTTGTTGACATCGATTGCTGATTGTTATTGCAATTTGTTTCCGCAGATGGTATTGAACTAAAATTTGGCACCCCTGTTGAATTGTATGGACTATTTGGATAGGCTTGATGATGTGGATGTGGATGATATGCAGAGCTCGAATATGGTGGATAATTTCCATAGTTTTGACCATATTCGGTTTGATGAGCACCACTTGCTGACACTGTACTCGAACCGGAATTATTTTGACTTTGACAATAGTCAGCATAATTGATGAAATTTTGATAATTTCGTTCGTATCCCTCCATTTTAACTTGAGCCGATGGATAATTTGTCGCAGACCCTGGCACCGGATATGGCTGTCTCGGTGGCGGTATTGACGATAATGGTTCTTGTTTTAATGGCTTCGATCCCAAGCTTCCGTATAAGAAATTATTGGCGCTCGGTGGTTTGGCAGCGGTAATTGCATCGAATCCATCGGGTGGTTGATATGGATTTAGTGGATCAGGAGCGGTATGCACACCTGGCATATATGATGGTGAACTATTCTCATATTTTGTATTTGCTCCGTATGCATTTGGTGGATATAAATCATTGCCTTTATTGAAATTTGGCATGAAACTGGAAGATTTCTTTTCATCTATTGTTTGCTTTGTCGGTGGCTGCGATTGTGTTGACGCATTTGGTTTTTTTCTTTGTCTTTTCGGTGCTGGTTTTTTTACTGGTTTTTCGGAATCTAATTTGGGTGATGATTTATTTTTACTATTGATGTCGGAACCTTGTTGCTGTTGTGGAGATTGAAAGTCGTCCGGCGGTTTTGCTTCTGACTTCCAATGCGGTAAAACGCCACCACCTCCGTTTGTTGGTTCAACATTTAAATTTGGTTGAACCGACGATAAACACATATCGGTATTGCTATTGCTGGTCAAGCTACCGTCTGTATTTAAGTCTCGGAGATGGTGGCTATACGATAAAAAATGACCGGTCTTGTTATTGGCATCAAGTCCGGGCATTTGTTGTTGCTGCTGTGCAGATGGCACTCCATTAGTTTGTGATTTCCATGAGCCCAAACCGTCTGATATAGGCTGTCGCGTCCCGTTCGTCTGCGCTTTCCAATGCACCCCATTTGTATCTGTTTTCCAATGCATGCCATGCTGAATTGATTGTGATTGCTGTTGGTGTTGTTGTTGTTGTTGTTGTTGCTGTTGCTGTTGTGAAGTATTCTGATTTTGTTGTGATTGTTGTTGACCTGCATTTTGTTGAGCTCCGCTGAATTCGCCTGAGTACCCGTTACAATTGAGTGAGTGCTGCGGAACAACGCTGCTCACTCGCGGATACCCAGGCATTTCGTTTCCCGATATCGAGGAAGACATACGTGCTATATATGTAAAAAAAAAGAAATAATTTATATGCAACACATTAAAAATATATCGCTTTTTTGGCAAACATACACACACACATACAAAATGTGTACGAAAAAAAATCACATTAAAAATCAATATATCTACTTACACTTGTTCAAGTCATTCTGTCCTCCTAAAAGCATTGGTGATGGGCCGGTGGTTACTTGGCCTGCATATGAAGCAGTTGGTGCAAAACTAACGCTTTGCAATGACACTTGATTTATTGGTGGAATTTGATTGCTTTGAAAATCATATCTCTGAACTGGTGCTGCATATGATCGACCATAGTTTGGATCAAAACCGAGGCCACTTTGAACATATCCAGTTGGTTGGTAAGCAGCATATCCCTATGTGAACACACAAAAATGAAGAGAGAAAAAAGACCAAACAAAATTTTAATAAATCGACATCATATATTACCATCAACTACGAACAAAAA